TAGTGAGATAATCATATGGTTTTTCTTTTTCTGTTTGTTTATATGGTGGATCACGTTGATAGATTATCATATGTTAAACCATCCCTGCATTCCAGGTATGAAGCCTACTTGGTCATGGTGGATGATTTCTCTGATGTATTCTTGAATTCGGTTTGCCAGTATTTTATTGAGTATTTTTGCATCGATGTTCATCAGGGATATTGTTCTGTAGTTTTCTTTTAGTTGTGTCTTTGTGAGGTTTGGGTACCAAAGTTATTGTGGCCTCATAAAAAGAGTTTGGCAACGAACCTTCTGTTTCTATCTTGTGGAACAGTTTGAGGAGTAGTGGTATTAGTTCTTCCTTGAATGACTGGTAGAATTCTGCGCTGAATTCATCTGGCCCTGGACTTTTTTTGGTTGGAAGGCTTTCGAAGACTGCTTCTATTTCATTGCGGGTTATAGGTCTATTTAAGTTGTTTGTCTGTTCTTGATTTAATTTTGGTAAGTGATAGTTATCCAGAAACTTGTCCATTTCCTTTGAATTTTCAATTTTTGTGGAATATATATTTTCAAAGTATGACCTGAAAATTGTCTGGATTTCCTCTGTGTCCGTTGTTATATTCCCATTTTCGTTTCTGATTTTGTTAATTTGCATGTTCTCTCTCTGCTACTTCGCTAATTTGGATAAAGGTTTGTCTATCTTGTTGATTTTCTCAAAAAAACAACTCTTCGTTGCATTGATTTTTTTTTTTTTTTTTTTTTTTTTTTTGTATTGTTTTCCTGGTTCCTATTTTGTTGATTTCAGCCCTCAAGTTGATTTTTTCCTGGCGTCTACTCCTACGGGGTGAGTTCGCTTCTAAGGTTTTCAGTTGCACTGCTAATTCTCTTATGTGACTATCCTCTGTTTTCTTCATATGGGCACTTAGTGCAATGAACTTCCCTGGTAGCGCTGCTTTCAAGGTGTCCCATAAGTTCGGGTATGTTGTGTCCTCATTCTCGTTGAATATTAGAAAGTACTTAATTTCTTTATTTCTTCTTTGTCTCAGGTGTGGTACAATTGCACATTGTTCAGTTTCCATGAGTTTGCAGGTTTTCTGCTATTTGTGTTGTTGTTGAATTCCAATTTTAAAGCATGGTGATCCGATAAGATATAGGGGAGTATTCCTATTCTCTTGTATCTTTTGAGGTTTGTTATGCCACCTAGTAAGTGGTCGATTTTAGAGAAGGTTCCATGTGGAGCAGAGAAGAAGGTATATTCTTTTGTGTTTGGATGGAATGTTCTATAGATGTCTGTTAACCCCAGTTGAGACATAACTTCTGTTAATTCTTTTGTTTCTTTGTTGAGTTCCTGATTTGTGGTCCTGTCTAGTGTTGAGAGTGGTGTATTGAAATCTCCCACTATAAGTGTGTGAGGTTTTATATGAACTTTGAGTTTTAGTAGTGCTTCTTTTACGAATGTGGGTGACTTTGTATTAGGGGCATAGATGTTCAGAACTGAGAGTTTGTGTTGATGGATTTCTCCTGCGATGAATATGAAGTGACAGTCTTCATCTCTTTTGATTAATTTTGGTTTGAAGTCTAACTTGTTAGATATTAGGATAGCTATGCCTGCTTGCTTCTTATTTCCATTTGATTGGAAAATCTTTTCCCACTCCTTTACCCTGAGGTAATGTCTGTCTTTGAAGCTTAGATGTGTTTCTTGTATGCAGCAGAAGGATGGATTCTGTCTTCGTATCCATTCTGTTAGCCTGTGTCTTTTTATAGGTGAGTTAAGACCATTAATGTTGAAGGTGAGTAAGGACCATTGATTGTTGATGCTTGTTTGATTTAGGTTTGTTGTTGGCAGTGGTATTGTGAATATATTTGTTCTGCTTCACCCTTGGTTTCTGGTGTAGTGAGATTATCTGTTACCTACATTTTTGTGGGCGTAGTTACCTTCCTTGGGTTGGAGTTTTCCTTCCAATACTTTCTGTAGGGCTGGATTTGTAGATACGTATTGGGAAAATCTGTTTTTGTCATTAAATATCTTGTTTTCTCCATCTATAGTGACTGAGAGTTTTTCTGGATAAAGTAGCATAGGCTGGCATCTGTGTTCTCTTAATACTTTTAGAACATCTATCCAGGAACTTCTGGCCTTGAGGGTTTCCATGGAGAAGTCAGGTATAATTTTGATAGGTCTGCCTTTACATGTTACCTGCCCTTTTTCCTTCGCTGCTCTTAATAGTCTTTCTTTATTCTGTTTGCTAGGTGTTTTGATTATTGTATGTCAAGGGGTCTTTTTTCTTTGGTCCAGCCTATTTGGGGTTCGGTATGCTTCTTGTACTTTCATGGGCATGTCCTTCTTCAGATTTGGAAAGTTTTCCTCGATTATTTTGTTGAATATGTTTTCGGCACCTTTGAGCTGGGCTTCCTCATCTTCCTCTATGCCTATTATTCTTAGGTTTGGCCTTTTCACGGTATCCCACATTTCCTGGATGTTTTGTGTTAAGGATTTGTTGGATTTATGATTTTCTTTGGTCGATGAATCTATTTCTTCTAGTTTATTTTCTGCGCCCGAGATTCTTTCCTCCATCTCTTGAATTCTGTTGGTTATGCTTGTGTCTGTAGTTCCCGATTTTTTGCCCAGTTTTTCTATTTCCAGCATTCCTTTGGTTTGTGTTGCCTTTATTTTCTCTATTTCAGTTTTCAAATCTTGAATCGTTTCCTTCACCTGCTTAATTGTTTTTTCTTGGCTTTCTGTACTTTCTTTGCTTTCCTTAAGGAATTTGTTCATTTCTTCCACTTTTTTGGTTGCTTTTTCCTCCATTTCTTTAAGGGATTTTCTCACATCTCCTTTGAGGGCCTCTATCATTTTTATGACTGTAATTTTTAAGTCTTTACCTTCTGCTTCCTCTGCTTTGTTGTTGTGTTCTGTTCTAGTTGGTGTAGATTCCCTGGATTCTGGTGGTGTCTTGCTTGTCTTTCTGTTGTTAGGTGTTTTCTTGTATTGCCTTCTTCCCATAGCTTCTTCCAGTAGGTGTTGGTGGGGTCTCCCCCTCTCTCTATGGTACTTCCCTGGTGGGCTTATGTTGGTCAGAGAGTCAATATCTGTAGCTCTGGGTGGTCCAAGCTCTATAGGAGGTCTCTCCGCAGACAGGGACCCAGGGATGGGGTCAGGGCTGAGGATCCAGTAGAAGATGCCACTAGCCAATGGCTCTAGCCAATGGCCGGGCGGAAGAGGACAAAGGCTGAGCTGAAACTTGGGAAGTTTCTGCAGGATAATCTGATCTCACTGGAAACTGGCACTCTACAGCTGAGGCCTCTTTCTTTAGCAGTGGCCCTGCTTTGGGGGTCAAGGTTCTTGCACGCGGGAACTCAGAGTGGACCTGCAGAGATAGGGGGATCTCTGGGAGGGGCCCGGGACTCCAGCAGAGGACTGGAGGTGGGGGGTCAGAGACCAAGCAGGTGGAAATTATGGGTGGTCCCACGTGGATAGTCAGGTCTCCTTTGTTCAGAGTTGCTCGGAGAAGTCTCCAAAGTAGGGTGGACTGTTGGCTCCACCCTCTGTCCCAGTGCTCAACCAGAGCGGCAGGACCGTGGGTGGGGCACAGGGTGGGGGGGGCAGGCTCGTGGTCAGGATGGGTGGGGGTGTATCAGACTCCAAGGGTGCTCTCGACGGGGACAGGACAGAGGAGCAGTGGGATCAGGGTCCATGGGTAACTTTTTCTAACTTTTCATTTTTAGAGGAATAGTGGCTCTCTCTGTGTGTGTGTGTGTGTGTCTGTCTGTCTGTCTGTCTGTCTGTCTGTCTGTCTGTCTGTCTAGAAATATATAGATAGATAGCCATGTATGATATATGTCATACACTTTGTTTCCTAAAGACTATTTTCTTTTGCATGGGTATGGGCAACTTAGCAGTGACTATAACAGGATAGTAGTTTATATATATATTTTTTTCTTCCAGATCAGTTAATTTTAAATATTAGTTAAAAGACTTTTTGTGTCTTCCCTGCAGTTGATCTTGCAGAATGAAACTGTAAGGGGTAGTGTTTTTAGGTAATAACTCTAGACATTAAAAGGAATGACTCAAAGCTGGTCATGATAGTGTGCACTGTTAATCCCAGTACGCCGGAGGCAGAGGCAGGTGGATCTCTGTGTGTTCTAGGCCAGCCTGGTCTACAGAGCGAGTTCCAGGGCAACAGGGCTACACAGAGAAACCTGTCTCAGAAAAACAACAAAAACAAACAAATGGATGATTCGAGACCACATTCTGTCCTCTCTGTCATCACAAGCAGTCTTATTACCAGCCATTAGGGTGTTCCATATTTTAATTACTTGAATGATACAGGCTTGTTAGTTTGGTAGTAGCAATTGGGTTTTTCAACAAAGAATGACAGTTTCAGTGATATATACTAGAGATGTCCTATGTGTTTATTCCCTCAGTCCCTTTTTATTACAACTGTAGGCTCCATACAAAAGCTAGTTTTCATGATGGGCATTTGTCAAAACCAGGGGATTGGCTCTTGAGTATATTTTAGGGGACTGTGAGATTTTTATTTATCTAATAATACACTGGTGAGCATTTTCAAATGCACATACTTCTTGATTTGATGTCTCTTAAGCAGTAAGGTGGGGAGTGTCCAGCTTTTACTTCATTTCCCATAAGTAAGCCCCATTTTCAGTAAGGGGGAGATAGAGACATTTGTAACACGAGCATAACTATTACAGTAGATGGTTGTGTAATTTCCCAGCAATACACATTCATATTTTTTGACCTTTCCAGAATATATGAATCTTGGAATCTGGTGATTCCAGCTCAGAAAAATCAATGTGCTTTTATCATTGAATCCTCAAATGTGGAACTTAGTTCTTTGCTCTCTCTAGAGTATAGGCCCATGCGGTGAGGAATTCTTGTTTGCTTTGTTTGATGTTCTTTGTACTGCCTGACACATAGCATAGTAAGTACTTACTGTTGTAAGATAATTGCACACACCCTTTCCTTTAACACGAACAGTGATGTTTTCCATTCTTCTCTTATTCAGAAAGCGGAGTCTGTCTCTGGGAAGAAATGATGTAGTTCAGCTGAAAGAAGCCTACAAATGGATAACTCACCCCCTGTTTTCAGAGGGACTGGGAGTTCCCATTGATGGAAAGGTATCAGACATGGGCACCATTGATCTCTGTGTTCCTGGGTTCCCTTTGTTATTGCAGACACTTGGTGAGCCAAAGCTTCTCCTCTATATAACTTCAAGAAAGCTCCTCTAAGGCTTTGGGCTTGTTTTTTTGTTTGTTTGTTATGGGGTTTCTATGTTCAGCCCTGGCTGTGCTGACCTTTGTGGCTGTGGTTGTGTAGTCCCTCTGCCTCTTGAGTGCTGGGATTAAAGGCCTGTGCCCATGCTGGCTCAGCTAAGTCTTTAAATGTTCATTTAGAACTGTCCAAACTGATGTTAAGGCCTCTTGTTTGTTTTTACTCTTTGTGATCCAGGATACTTAAGAAGGTAACAAATAATGTGAACACATTGACTTTAAAAGGCTAGACATAAATCTTCACCTGGGAGTTTTTGTAGTTTGGCTGAAAGGACAGATTTACTGATTCAAAGCAATGAATTACAAACTGGCTCAGTAGGTAAAGGTGCTTGCCACAAAGCCTCATGACCTGAGTTCAAGCGGTCACTCAGGGAAAGGAGAAAACCAAGTACTACAGGTTGTTCTTTGACTCTCTCTCTCTCTCTCTCTCTCTCTCTCTCACACACACACACACACACATGCACCCACACATGTGCATGCACACGCACAAATGCAGACACACGCACACATTTTTAAAAAAAGCTAAGCAAGTGTCAAATCAATTCCAGACTATTTGATTTTGGTTTATCTGTGGCTAGTCTTGCTTTCAAATATATAGACAGTAGGTAAAATGAGCTCATTCTGTAGTAGCTGGTGGCATCTCAAGGCCCTCTGTTTCCAGACAGGGACAGCCTTTGAAACCAGGATACCTGGCCACTTCTCCAATTTTAGAGAAGACCTGGCCTCAGTGTGGGAATGGGTTGAAATCAGGGGACAGCTCAGCAGGCTGCCTTGTGTAAAAACAGAGCCAGTTCCCAACTCCTCTGAAGTCTGTAGTGTAGACTCATTTCTCATTTCACTAGAGGAAGTTTCCTGAGTATTATATATAGATATGCCCCCTACTCAAAGTCTTTAAATCCATTCTAAATTATATACTCAGTCTCTTAGTATAAATAATCCCTTTCAGCTTTTGGCTTTTTGAGACAGGGTCTCATAGCTTAGGCTGACTTTGAACTTACTATGTAGCTGAGAACTCCTTCCTCACCCTTTTGCGTCCCCTCTCAAGAGCTACGACCAGCCAGGGTAAGCGCTTTAAATTGAATACTGAAAGAATAAAGAGTAAAAATACCTCACAGATGGTCTGAAAAGGAAACAAAGTAATGAAAGTACTTTGGAAATTAGAGAAGTCATTGATGTAAGCTGTTCTTACCTCAAATTTCAGTTTTGAAGCAGCTAACTCTAAAATTTACATACTGAGTCACGGAACAGAAGGCAAGAAACAAAAGACCTAGTGATATTTGAGTAGATTCCAGCTGGCTTTCTTTAGTAGGAAACACTTGGTTCGTCTTACTTTTATTATGTGTATTAGGACAAGGGAGCAAAACAGAAGCCATTTAGTATAATCAGCTTGGTAAAGGACCTAGTGAGCCCAGGGGAATAAGAAGACAGTGTGGAATTCACAGTGTTTTCTTCAGTAGCAAATATTGAATATTCTCTGCAGAGATGAGACATATAACATGAAATTATTCACACACAGAATGCTTGTTGAAGCAATTTTTTAATTATAGGAATATTTTCTTTAATATCTTACAGTTCTTACAGCTGCAAGGTATCTGTGATGTGAGATTAACAGGGCAGCTTTCCAAAACATCTAATAAAAGTGGCTAGTGGGAAACACACTGAATGGCTTATGGCTCTGCCCTGGTAGAGAGAGGGGGTGGGTGGGGGGGCTTCATCCAGAATTCTTAAAGTTTTGAACAAAATGTTTTTACCCTGCTAATAACTGGTCAGCAATAGCCCAGGAGTTCTCTGGGACTTTTTAGATATCTCTGTCCAGCTCCCTAAATTCACATTTATCTTCATTCTAATATATGCATTTTTCCAGCATAAATTGATTTAGAAACTTAATTTAAAGAAGGGATATTCGGGGAGGTTTGGATGAGAAAAGGGAAGAGAGCAGTGTTGGGATTATATTACAATCTCAAAAGAAAACAAGAGCCAGTTTTGGTAGTTCTGTTGGTGATTGGGTTCAGAAGTTACAGAAAACAAAAGCTAATGCAAGCCCCCCTCCCCTCCCCTCCCCTCCAGTTGCCTGCAAACAAGCTTGAGGGCATTAGTGTTTCTAGTTTCCCCATAGCTTTTCTGAGCCAGTCTTTGGGAGTTAACTTCTATTTCCATTCAGTAGCTGTTAGCTGTTAGTTTCCTTTTGCTCATTTAAAAACTGTTCTTTATAATTTTTAGAGCTTGTTTGAAGTGAGTGTGGTCTTTGCTCATCCAGAAACATTTGAGGACTGCCACTTCCTGTAAGTTGCCCCATAAAAACAGTGTCAATTATGTAAAATGTGAGTGCTTTCTTTTTCGTGAAGATAGTATTTTTTCTTTCTTGTAACTATTTCAGAACTTAGATTTAAAATGTAACTTCTCATAGAAGAGTCCTCAGGGAAACCAACGCAGCTCACAAATGTATGCACACAGAGATAATATGTAAATATAAGTATATAAAATGTGTTTGAATTGTGTCCATCTATTATAAACTCATTAAACATTCTTCTCCTCTAATTTTTTCCTTTCTTTCTTTTCTTTCTTTTTTTTTTAAGACAGGGCTTCATATTTAGCTCTGACTGTCCTAGAAATCACTATGTAGACTAGGCTGGCCTTGAACTCACAGAGATCCACTTGATTCTGCATCCCAAGTGCTGGGATTAAAGGTGTGTACCACCAACCATGCCCAGCCAAACTTTTATCTTAACTTGAATTGTATTTCAGAGGTGAAGTTTGCCGAGATTGTTTCAAACCAGCCAAAAACAAACAGGTAAGGATTTTACTTCTTATAATTATCAATAAAGTGAATATGGACTGGAAATGTGATAAGAACTGGTCTTTAAATATTTCTATTTGGTTAATAGATGCTTTATTTTATTATTTTGGGTCTTTTGAGATAGCCTCACTCAGGGTCACCTGGAACTCACTGTGTAAGCCAGTTTGTCCTGGAACTTGTAGCCATTCAGGGGCCTCTTTGCACACACATTTCCCAGCCTCAGCTGTTCTCTGAAACCACACAGCAGGGCTCCGTGACCCCCTTAATCATGCATCTTCTATACCTACAAGAACAGTGCTGTGTGCATGTGTTGCTGCCCAGTTCTGCCCCTCAAACTGACATCTGGCTCCTTTGGCCCAGGCTGTCATCTGTGTTCCAGGCCTGGGGAAACAAGTCCATTGGCAGCTCCTTCCAGGAGCTGAGAACTTCTTCAGTTTAGGTTTGTTTCCTTTGGATGCATTTGAATCTTCACAAGATGGACCCTCCAGTGGTGGGGTTTTTGTTTTCAGCCTTTCCTATTGGCCTAGGGCAGGCAGGAGGTTTCTCTTTGTCTCTTTAATAAATACAGCTGCTTTCTCAGTCAAATGTTATGTCTTGAAATTTCCTTTGCCAAACAACTTAATCCATTACCTTTAAATTCAATTCTTACATGGGAAGAATGAAGCCAGATTCTTGTCCAAAATATACCCCGAATAGCCCCTAGTCCAGTTCCTGGTGGAAGCTTTGTCCCATGCTGATACCTCATGAACCAGGCCAGTACTGGCTCATTTCCTCACCAGTCTTTCCTTTTAAGCCTCTGTGAGAGTGGACCATTGGGCTCTGCTTGGAGCATTCAAGAGCTTCTCTAACCCAAAGCTCCAAACTTCCACGTTTCCTCCCACAAAACAGTTCCAAAGGCTTAAGAACTTTATGACCTGGTTCATCACACAACAGCGGCTGAAGTGCTTACCTAGTTATCCTTTATTAGTAAAAACTTGGAGTCAGATATTGTGTAAGAACCTGATTGATCAGAGAAGCAGTGGAGAAGTGATGAGCGATCTCCCCTTTCTCTTCTTCCCCAATCTACAAGAGCCACTCTACTACTTCCTGTGTTTCCTCAGTCCTCCAAAACCTCTATGGCTAATTTTGGTCAGCTAGTAGCTAGCTCCACCCTCTGATTCAAAGCAAACTTTATTGACAATTTCCAGAGCATCAGATTTCAATCAAAATATCCCACAAAAAGTAGCCCTGATACTTCCTCATTGCTCATTTTCCTATTGCTCTGATAAAACACCCTGACAAAAGATTTTGGTGCACAGTATTGAACAAAAAGGAGAAAGTGAGCTGAACACAAGTATTCAGTACTCCGTTCTTCCTAATGCCTTGATGTGCCTGGAGAGGCTTGTCTGCTACAGACCAAAATCATGAGCACTTAAGCTGGCCTTGCTTGGTTGATTTTAAATATGTAGGATGGTATAATTCCTCTAATGAGTTGTGTTTTAGCTCTCATCTAGATAAAATTTCTTCCTTTTGTTCCACCCTATGTAGTCAGTGTTCACCAGAATGGCCGTTTTGAAAGCTTTGAACAAGATAAAAGAAGAGGATTTCCTCACGTAAGTCTAGAAACACGGAAGCACTGTGTTACTTTAGGGGGTGGGAATACTAAGGGCACTCTGGATTGTCTCTCAGACAAGCCTGGATGCCTCCCAGGCTGTTTGTTCATCTCAATCCTCCTCATAGTCTATCCCTACAACAGTCCCTGAGTGTGGCAGTATTCGGTAAACGTTTATCATACTAACATGTACGAGTCAAGCTTGACTTCTTTACCTTACTGATGAGTGTGACTCACTGATCAGTGCTTACCTGGCAGAGATGAGGCCTGGGTTTAGGCCCTGGAACTAAAGCCCAAGCTTTTGAATTTGAGAAGATTTTGATTTCCAAAAACCTTGCCTGGGTTTTTAGCTGAGCAATTAGCAGCCCATGGGCAGAAAGCTGTTCCTGTTGCATCCCAAATACTTTCTAGTGTGTCTATCTCTAAAAGAAGAGAGGAGGCTTGGGAGTGTCCTCGCTTGCACAGAAAGAACAGTGGCTTGAGAGTAGGGTCCTGGCTTCACAACCAGTCTATCTCACACAGTTGGAACTTAGCTATGTCAGCTGCTTCTTTCGGCCTCAGTTCTCTTTTCTAAAATATAAATTGTTAAGATATATAGAAATACAATAAATTTTATGTTTGAATTACCAGTGCTTTAAAAAAAAAAAACTAATTATTGTAGTTTTCCTTCTAGAAAATCCTTGAATAAATACAAGCAATGACATCATGATGAGGGCTTATCATTTATTAACTAAAAAAAAAAAAAAGAGTCTCGTGATGGAAATATTTTCATTAAACTTTAAAAGTAATGAGTACTTTATCTAGGGCTGGAGAGGTGGACCAGTCCAGTCCCAGCATCCGCATAACAGTTACCAGTCAGCTACAACCCCAAGTCCAGGGGATCTGACACCATCTTCTGTCCTCTTTGGACCCTAGGCAGGCACATAATGCACAGACAAATGCAGACAAAACACTCATACATACAGAATCAAAGTTAAAAAGAATACTTTATGTAAATACCAGTTCTTGGGTTTCTGAATGATTTCATTGTTGAAGCATCTTAGGAAATCATAGAAACATTCCAAGCCACCTGTTTGGGTTAAATCAGAACTTAATTATTTACAGGTGGCCTCCAGTTTGTGGCTTTGGAAATTCCAAATGATTTGGATAGAGGATAAACTGTTGTTCCCAGTTGTCCACAATTGAAGTCCATTAGCTAAGAAAATGGCAACCCCAACTTCCCATCTTTTCCTGGCTTTGTGTCATAGTTGAGATGAAAAGGAAGAAGGGGGACAGGCAGGACAGACCCACAGGCAGGACAGACCCCCACAAGTGGGAGCAGTTACCCAAGCAGTTAAGCCTCATGCAAGACAGCAGCACGTGACCAGATAGAACAAAATGGTTGACGAGCCTGGAGGGGCTTCCACTTTGTATATGTGGGTTTTCCCCTACATCTGAAGGCTGTTAGAAATTATCTCTGGGAAAGATAAGATCTCCTGACTGAAGAGCAACATCAAAGTCCCAATTTACCTTGTGCCACTGCTGTGTGTTAGAAGTGGTGCTCTAGGGGCTGGAGTGTTGCTCAGTGGTTTTTTGTTGCAAAGGACCTGGGTTCAATTCCCAGCACTGACATGATGGCTTGCTACCTCCTTGGGCACCAGGCACACATCTGGTGCACAGATGTACATGCAGGCAAAGTAGTTATACACATAATAAAAATAAATCTTTGATTTTTGAGACAGGGTTTCTCTGTGTAGCCCTGGCTGTTCTGGAACTCACTCTCTAGACCTGGCTGGTCTTAAATTCTCAGAGATCTGCCTGTCTCTGCCTCCAGAGTGCTGGGATTAAAGGTGTGTGCCACTACTGCTCAGCGTAATAGAAAAAGTCTGGAAAGAGAGGAAGAGAAGAAGAGAGGGACAGAGGCGGGGGTGGGGGGGACGGGGAGGTGGGGGGATACTCTGCAGATGATATGGTAGCTTATGCTTGTAATCCTAGGCCTCAGGAGGCTGAAGCAGATGGGTTGTGGCCAGACTGCAACACAGTGAGTTCCAGACCAACCTGGGATACAGAATGAGATCCTATCTCAAAATAAACAGAACATAGATAGGGACTGGAAGATGACCCAGTGATTAAGAGCCCTAGCTGCCCTTTCAGAGGACCTGGACAGTTCCCAGATCAGTGACCATTTCTGGCCTCCATAGGCACTGCACACATGTGGTACATAAACACACATTCAGGCAAAAATATCCATGCACATAAAAATAACCTTTAAAACAAAACAGTAACATTTAAAAAGTAGTGAAGGCCTGAAGGCCCCCTTTTGCTTTAAAACTTGAAGGTAGTAGGAGGGACAGACAGTCCTTGGGGCTCAAGTTTTGAGTCCTGACAATGCTGACTCCTCTTAGCTTTGTTGTGCTTGTATTAGTATTAGTGTCCATAAAATTTATTTTGTTTTGCAGGCAATTTCCTTGTCCTCCAAACTCACCAAAGACCGTATGCACTGTCCTTGAAATTGAATGTGCTCATGGTGCTGTTTTTGTTGCTGGTAACTATCTCCTCTAGAGTGTACATGCCCTGTGAGCCCCTGCCTGGACATGCCTGCGGCGTCTCTATAGCCACTCTTCCGCTCTGTCCACACTGACGACCAGAAGCAGAGAAACCAGGCAGAGGTGTTCAGTGACCTGGAAAACAGACTTCAGAGAACTAACGTTACTATATTCTCCTTGACTAAACCCTTGGCCTTATCCAGAGAAAAAGACAATGTTGTATCAACCTTCCTGATTGCTATACAGCAGGCAGGTTTTTGTTTTGTTTTAAAAGTTACAGTTGCTTCCTAGTGAAAGCTGAATGAAATTGCTGTGTCATCACTGTCTCCTCAGGCAATGGCAGCGGCAGCTGCTTTCTTGTGGGTGTAACTTTATTCATAAGACAGTGAGTCACAATGTGTTAGGAAGTTTTTTGGGTTTTTTTTTTAACTTACAAATTCTTAAACTTTTCACACAATTTTTTTTAATGATCTTTGTTGTGTTCCACAATATCTTATAACTCTTCCAGTCAATGAATCAAATTATTAAATCATTTCACTCATTTGATAAATTCTTTTTGTTTCTAAAGTATCTATTCTGTTCTATTAAATCTTATTATCTCCATGTCTATGCTATGGCTTTCAAGTTAGTCTGTTTCTTAGTTGAAGGCTAGTCTTCATTTTATAACCTAGCATGTAGAATATCAAACTTACTAAATAGTTAATTTTATTTTTATCCTAATATATTGATCACAGTGTTCAATCCAAGTACCTGATATTTCTTTGGCAGGCAGATATAATAAATACTCCAGGAATCTACCACAGACTCCTTGGATAATTGATGGAGAAAGGAAAATGGAATCTTCTGTGGAAGAACTAATTTCAGATCATCTGTTGGCAGCATTCAAAGCAGAGGGTGAGTGTTACAGTGTTCATGTTTTATGTCCACTGTAAAACATGAGTAGATTTTTCCAGTCAGCCACACCTGAGCCTGGGCTCCCTGGCTTCAGGCTTCTCCAGAACAGGCACCGTTAATATGCAGGGCTTTAGAGCTCAGGCTAGATTTTAGTGGAGATACCCAAGGATACCTGTCCTTTCTCAGTGACTGCTCTCTCTTGGGAAACTCAGAACAACCAAGACTGCTTTAGACAAATGCAAGTCCTAACCTTGGAGTACCTCAGTCTCAGCTTCTTCAGGGAACTATGAAGAAGTCAATCGTAGAGCTGGCTTCTTTCTGCCCTAACCTACAGAGTGATTTTGGATGAAGTTCATGACCAAAGGAAATAGATCAAGAACAACTATTTTACTGAAGTTTTATGGGGTGTAGTGTGTTTTAATTTCCTATTAACGAGCCATGTTTGTGTGATGAGTCAGGTACGTGTTTCAACAGGCCTGTGAGTCAAAGGCAGTTTAGAGTCTGTGATTTATGTGAGGCATGGAAGAAGGAGAGGTCTAAGAAGATGTCTATTGTAAAGCAAAGCTGCAGGCAGTGGGCAGTGTTAGTCTTGGAGTGAGGCTTGCAACACAGCAGAGGTCTTCGATGGACCAGCTAGGCACTACTTTTCTCTATGAGAAACACCAAGGCACCTGTTCCCAAGTCCAGCAGAGGTCATCATAAACACTGCTGCCTCTTCTGACTTGTTAGGAAGAAAGAGAATCACTTTAAACCACATCTTCTTCATGATTTATTGTCTGCCATGGGCAAGCTCTCCCTTTTATTATTTATCTTTATTATTTTCATTCATGTTTCTGTTGCTACTCACACATGAGTGTAGGTGTCATTGGGTCCCATGGATCTGGAGTTACAGAGGGCTGTGAGTTGTACCATGTGAGTTCTAAGAACTGGACCCAGGTCCTCTGCGAGAGCAATGCCCTCTTAACTGCTGATACATCTCTCCGGTATGCCCCTAAAGGGTTATGCAAATTGCTTTCTTCTGTGTATGTGTGCATGTCAAGGCCAGGGGTCAATGTTGGGTGTCTTCCTCAGTTGCTTTCTACCTCACTTTGTGAGACAAGGCCACACTGTACTTGGAGCTCACCAAGTTGGCCAGACTGGCCAGCCAGTGAGCTCCAGGGATCTGCTTGTATTGACCATGCCCACCAAGTAGAAGGGTTAGAGATGCGTTGTTGTCACACTGCACTTTTGTTTTTAGGATTTTATTTCCTTAAACTGTGCGTGCGTGTGTGTGTGTGTGTGTGTGTGTGTGTGTGTGTAGTGGGCTTGTGCACATAAATGCTGTGCTTGTGGGGATAAGAGCATTGTGCCCCTTGGAGCTGGAGTCTGGGTGTTTGTGGGCCACCTGGTGTTCAAGAGCAGCGAGTGCTCTTACTATGGAGCCATCCGCTTACACGGTGCCTGTCTGTGAACTAGGCTCTCCATGCTTATGCAGAAGACACATGACTCAGCTGTTTCCCTAGCTGCTATAAATTATTTTCTGAATAGAGGAGAAAAGTAACCTAGAATCCTAATATTTTCCAAATTTTCAGGAAAAAGACTTTGCAGCATTTTAATGAACTTTTACCTACTTAAGCTCTGAGTAAAAGTATCTCTTAGGCTGAAAACATCACTCTGTGTGCACTAGGTTCTGGCTTTGCTTCATAGCACTGTACCAAAAAGAAAAAAATAAACAAGTCTTGCTCAATTTTGGGGGAGGGTCTGGGGGTGGGGACTGCCTCGCTTCCTTTCTATGAGAATTCAGGGATCTTCAGTGTGCACTATTTTGGTCCCAAAGAGCCCCTAGCTTCTTCAGGGCTCAGGGACTGCAGGAAGCTCTGAAACTCCCCTTTCAGGTTTTCATGAAGGTATTTGTAGTCATTTTCCTTGTGAAGAGGAAAATACTGTTCCCCAACTGAAAATAAAGCGATGTAGCTTAGTTGCCCTGGGATCTATTCCCAGCACCAATAAGTTAGGCATGACGACGCAGGCCTAGAATCCTGGTTCTTGAAAGATAGAAGAAGAACCAGAAGTTTAAGGTCATCCTTACTAAATAGTGAGTTTGACAACAGGCTGGGCTCACTTAGACTGTCACAAAACAAACAAAACAACAACAAAACACATCCCAACACTCAGGAGGCAGAGGCAGTTTGATCTCTGAGTTCCAGGACAGTCAGGGCTACACAGTGAGACCCTGTCTCAAAACAACAACAAAAAAACCAAAACATGAAACGAAAGCAGATGGTATGTTCGATGTTCTCACTGAAAAATTGATTAAGAGCAGCAGTTGTCTGGACCTGGGTGCTAACTGCTCTTGTGTGTGGGGCGGGTGGTATAAGCTTTTCAGAGTTCCTGACTGATAACAGCATTTACCAGCCATGTTTCTCAGCTGGGTGACATGTTATTTCTGACCAGTGGTTCGTATCTGCGGGCCCTGCAGTTGCCTCCTTGAGTTTGAGAGCTGGATGAGCATCTGTGTTTCATGACAACAATTCTGTACCCTGAGGAGGACATACAAACTTGTCTCTCCTTGCTTTGAGTTGGACGCCCTGTTATGTACTTGCTAAGTCTGTAGTTAATGAGTGTTAAATGTTGACACACTCAAAATCAATGAATCTAGGAAATTTTTCCCTAATACTACAATTACTGACTCAAGTATTTGTTGGGTCATTTGCCTGTAGACACAATGAGTTACAAGGTAAAATCCAAGCTATGTGTCTTGGTATTCTGGAGCCTTTAAGCCTTTAGTCAGCTGGCACCTCTCTGGGTCTGAGAACCACTGTATAGCTGAATTACTCAGTGGTCCTAGATAATTACTGCTCTTCATTTTGTTTTTGACATACTTAAAACCTGTAACATAGGGGACAAGGCAAGGCACAATTTAGGTTCAGAAAAGTAATTTTTAAGCATGTATCCTCTAGTACTAAAGATTTTTTTTCAGCTTTTCCTCATCATACACCTTATAAACTTTTAAGGTTTTTTTTTTTTTTACCCCCTATAAATGATTTCTACTCTAGGGTCCAAGCTGTTTTCTTAAATTACAAATTTGAAACATTTCTGAAAAGGGAGTTGATGGCATGACTCAGTAGCCAAAGGCATTTGTTGCTAAGATTCATGGCCTGAGTTTGATCCCCAGGTCCCACATGATGGAAGGAGAGAATGACTCTGCAAATTGTCCTCTGACCTCCACATGCTCATCATGGCATATGCTTGTACTCACACACATCACACTTCCACACGTACACACATGTAACACTACAATAAGAAATAGAGTAAAGGGAAAAATGTAGAATTGTGCCCATAGTGCGGGGATGTTCTTACATCCGTTTCCTGCCCTGGGTCTATGTGTCACATTATGCTCTCCAATTCTCCATGAATGGTGACTCTGAGGATGGGGCTGTGTCCACCTTGTCTACCTCTGTCTTCCTATCGTCAAGCACAGTGTATTGCCAGAGTAGACTTCCTGAATGAATACTCTGATGCTTTTGTGGACTACAGCCCTGCTGGCCTCCTTCCTCTTTGAGCAGAGACCTTACGTGTCATCATTGTACAGACTACAGGGTTCCTGAGCCCTCACAGCCCTTCTGAGCCCTTTTGTCAGCTCCTCTACTTGGTGGTTCAGTGTAACCTGGGTTAACTAGTTCTGGTGTCAGAGTGTCTAAGCCACTGGCCTTGCTACCAGATATGCACTTGTTAATCTGATGTGGTTTTTGGCTATGGATTAACCCTGCCTATCTCACTTTCCTTAGAAGGGAAATGATAACAGTGCCAGTGGCAACCTGTGTTAAAGCATTTGGAGTAATGCCTGTTCACGTGTTTGCTGTGGTGATGAAGTCTGTTTGATCTGTATCTCTGTGCATTGTCATGTAGGTCCTTGAAACTATTTCCCTGTCTGACATCTCAGCTTTTGGTCTGTGATGATAAATTCTTGGATTGTACAGTGGTTTTAATGTGGCTCCATATTGGGTTTGGTTATATAATTCATTTGCTTTTTAAAGGTCAGACCTTTCTTTTCTCAATTTTTTCCCCCATAGAGTTTAATGTTAGCATGATTGGTCATGTTGTTATGCTTGCTTACTTTAGAGAAAAAGACAAAGTTATTGCTGCAATCCAGTGGTCAGGGAAGTGGGACCTTCCTTCCAGCCTTGCCTTTCTTTGAGATGGGGGGCATAGATGCTAGTTAAACTCTGGCTTTGACATCAGAAATATGTAGCTCTGCCACTAGATTGTTTGACCCTGGGAATATTGTCTAAATCTATGAAGTGTAATATTTACTTAGTGCTTCATGATAATTTTACCCCAGTACCTGGCATATAATGAGTAGTATTTATTATCGTTATTGTTTTTAGCCAAGATTGAGATTAAAGATGGAGTAATCGTTATCCCTTGAAGTCCTCTCCCATGGATTGCTGGGATTTCTGCCAGTGGTTGAAACAAAGTAGACTAGGGCTGCTGTCTCTCATCTTTTCTCCTCTTGTTTTGCTTCTTACAGGCTTTAATTTCTCGTCCTCTGGAAGAGAAGATGTAGATGTGAGAACTTTAGGAAATGGTAAGATGGTGTCAGCACCACCTGATGAGACGTGGCTGCTGATAATCCCCTGCACGGCTGTGGCTTTCTGTAGCCACTTAGAACCACAGTGGGAGAGCCCAGGCTGCTCCAGAGGGGGTCATGTGGGTTGTGCAGCTGCCTCTGCAGACTGATTTGTGTCTAACAGCACTCCCCCTTTTTTTTTTTTTTTTTTGGAGACGTCCTTATCACAGGCCTTAAGCTATAATGGACTTGCATGTGCATTAAGGAATATTTTTCCCTCAAAATTTATTAGTTACTACATTTTCAGGCCAGTTGGTGGTGGCCCATGCCTCAGGAGATCTCTGAGTTCGAGGCCAGCCTGGTCTACAGAGTGAGTTTCAGGATAGTCAGGACTATGTAGAGACCCTGCCTCAAAAAAACAAAGAAAGAACACCTCAGAAGTTACCAGTTTTCAATGTGTCTGTCTTTATTTCAAAATGATTCTGCTCTTTCTGCCTTCATTCCTCTCTATTTTACCTTGCTGAGTTATAAGAAAGATAATGAGAATTAATTCTGAGCTATTTGATGTTTGTAGTTCCTTCCCCTTGTGGGATCCCAGTTCCATGTCACTGGTAGACTAACTAAGACAATGGATCTCACCTTGTTATATCTGGGCATTGCTCTCTGTGACAATTTTAGTTCCATTAGTTAACCAACTTAATTAGTGGCTATTTGAATTTCATTTTGTAATTAACACAGGGGTGTTTGTGGGCCTCAGGGAAGGCAGTCATTTTCACATACTGCCTATATGGGGTTTAGCATCTTCCTGCTCTCATCCCCCAAAAGCCCCTTTACCCTTCTCACACATTGTCCCACCCCAGGTATAGTCACGCCTCCTGCATTTGCCCAAATGTTAACTCCATCAACACATTTCTGTTTCATGCTGGGCGTGTGCTGCCAGGAAGGCCTTTTGCAGTGGAACTGCTGAACCCTCATAGAGTGCATTTCAGTTCACAAGAAGTTAAGGAGCTCCAGCAGGTAAACACTTGTGTGGGACGACCATGTTTGTGCAACCCTGTGACTGAGCTAGAGTTGATAATTGTTTTTCTTTCTCTGCTGCTACAGAAAATTAATAACTCATCTGACAAAATCCAAGTACGTGATTTGCAGCTTGTCACCAGGTGAGGCTGGGCGTGCTGGGGAGATTTCAAAAGGAAAGTTTCATAGAACATATATTTGGTAAGGGAATTGCATACAGAATATATTAAGGAAAAAAATCTAACTCCAATTAAGAAATGGGAAAGTGATGAAGTAGACATTTCTACAAGGAGGATGTCTGAGTAGTCCATGAACATGAAACAGTGGGCGGTGCAGGTCAGAGCTATAGCCACACCCATCATAAATAATAAAGTAACAAGTGCTGGCAAGGGCATAGAGAAACTGCCATGTGCATTTGCTAATGGGGTTGAAAGAATGGCACTTTGATAGCCTGTCAAAAACTGAAACATAAAATGACCATATGACCTAGCAGTTCCATTAATTATATCTACAACAGAAATGGAAACATACATCAACCAGAGGTCACACATGGATGGTCTTGGTAGTATTTTCACAAAGCAGAGAAGTAGCTAGTGGTGGTACAGACCTGTGATTCTAATTGGAAGGTCAATGCAGGAAGGTTGTAGTTCAGGGCTATCCTTAGCCAAGTACTGAATTAAAAAAAAAAAAAGATACCATTTGTCTATCTATAGAAAAACACAAGGTGTAATTGTTCATCCTTACCCTTGAAAGATGTGTTTCAAGATTTGCAGCAGACACCTGAGACTGCAGATAATGCTGAATTCTATAAATAGTATGCTAATTGATGAACAGGTTTGACTAAAAAAAACTGAGCACAAGTCAGAACTAGAGAGAACACTGGCTGTTCTTGCAGGGGACCTGGGTTCAATCCAGCACACAACGGTGACTCAACCTGTAACTCCAGCTCCCAGGGATCTGACTCCCTTTTCTGGCTTCCAAGACCACCAGGCACTCATGTGGCATACATACATACATACATGCATACATACATGTAAGCACTCACACATACACATAAAATAAAAATAAATCTTTAAACAGAATAAACCAACCATAAAAGAGTAATAGCTAATAATAAAACAGGGCAATTGTAGCAGTATACTAAAATTTAAAAAACGTAATCATCAATTACCTGTTCTTAAGCTTTTGCACATAATACTTTGGGTCTGAGGTTTCCAGCAGGAAGAGTTAGTCCATGGGAAGGGGAACCTATTACACACCCTCCTGTGTAGTGTGGTTTGTTTTGTTTGAGGTACTGACTCAGTGCACTGCAGGTACACCGTGACCTTGACAGTGTATGAGAAGACAAGCCACTCACCCCTCTGTGATGGCACTTGATAGGAAATATTTGGAGAAATGATAAAGATAGAACAAATAGTGAGAGTAGTGGGCTTGGGAACGCATGGAAAGAAAGTGCTGATAGGCACGGAGGGTCCTCTGAGGGCCGTGGGAGTGTCGTGAGTTAGGTTATACTAGATGCATAGCTCCAGAAACACAATTCATAGAATGTACAGTGTAAGATTATATATGGTAGATGCATAGCTCCAGAAACAATGAAATTCATAGACTGCACAGTGTAACTGTGTGTGTGTGTGTGTGCTGTAGTAAGGGAGCAGAGATTTGGAGCAAGGTTTATGTAGAGACAAATCTCCCCTTTTTTATTGGTGTTTAGAGAGGCAATAGGGTATATGAAGGAAGGAGAAGAAGAGAAGACCAAGACCTATAGCGCCCTGATATGGACCAATAAAGCTATACAGAAGAAAGACATTGGATTTCTAAACGACCTAAAGGTACTTTACCTGCAGTTTTTTGTCTGTTTATTACCAGCAATCCATAGTTTGCATTCAAGTCCTGGTTTTCCAATTCACTAGCAAAATGCAGGTGCTTATCTAACTCTTTGGAGAAACAGTGTTTTTGTTGGGCAGTGGTGGTGCATGCCTTTAATCTCAGCACTGGGGAGGCAGAGGAGATGGATCTCTTAAGTTCAAGGCCAGCCTGGTCTATAGAGTGAGTTCCAGAACAGCCAGGGCTCCACAAAGAAACCCTGGGCGGCGCGGGTGGGGTGGGGAGGGGGTATGGGTAGTTGGGTGGGTGGGGTGATGCTGACTCTGAAGACAGAGTCATCGGGCCAAACCCTGAGTCTGTATTTCGTAGTTATGCGATTCTGGACAAACTCCTTAGCCTCTATGCTTCATCTGTAAAATTAGGTTAGAAAAACTAAATTAGTTCAGTTTGTACAAAGTACATAGCACAAGCACATAGAAAATACTCAGTAGTGCTATTATGTTTTGTTAACTAAAATGTACTTAATAGAATAGATACTAAAATTACATGTATGAATGAATAACATGTAATATTTATGTGAAGCACATGTATTTTGTGAGCATGTCATTGTAAAGGACCTGCTTGTTCTGTTGACTAGTTCTCATCTCTGTCTTGTGAAGACTGTCTCAGTGGGTAAGGACTTGCTGTGTAAGCATGTGGGCCACATGGTAGAGCCAGGCGTGGTCACGTGTGCCTTAACAGGAGATGCTAGTGACTGGAGTTTCACTACACAGACCTTTAAAGACAAGTGGTAGAGCAGGGTGCGGTGGCTCAGAAGGTCCAGGCAGGAGGACCACAGGCGTGAGGCCAGCCTGGGAACATAGCAAGACTCTGTCGCAAAGAATCAATTACTTACAGTTATACTGCTAACATAGGGAAAATGTTATCCTAAGTGCTAAGGGGAAAGCTGTAAGAGTCACCAGCCGGTAATGCCTGTGATCTCAGCACACAAATGTGCCGGGCGTTGGTGGCACATGCCTTTAATCCCAGCACTCGGGAGGCAGAGGCAAGCGGATCTCTGTGAGTTCGAGGCCAGCTTGGTCTACAGAGCGAGTTCCAGGACAGGCTCCAAAGCCTCAGAGAAACCCTGTCTTGAAAAAAACCATTAAACAAACAAACAAACAAAAAACCAATAAAGAGTGTCTGAGTAGATGGCTGAATAGGAACAACTGTACATGGCCGAGAACCCTTTGGAGCACTGCCCCACCTTAACCCAGTAAAGCAAACTGTGGCTGTAGTAGAGGGAGAGGGGTTGAAGGCGTGGAAAGTGCTTCCCACTTGAGGCGGTGGCAGAGACTGGAAAGGGGAAGGCAGTCCCCATGTCCCCACCTTCTGTTGACTCCTCACTGCAGAATGTGGCTTCTGCATAAGGAGACACATGGAAGGAGGGTTTCTGACTTAGTTCAAAGTGGCCAGATCATCAATGTCAACATTGATGTAGTGGCACAGCACATAAAGGGTGTGAGTTCAGGACCAGCCTGGACTATATAGTAAGGGTAAGCAAACAAACAAAAAACTTTGAATGAGCTAGTGGTAGAATGAAAAATAGCATAGTAGCTAGTAAAAATAAAACCGGAATTAGGCTATGATTTCCCTTAACTTGGGTTAGTGTGTGTCCATACATATCAAAATGTTGGAAGACATACAGTGTCTGAGTCTGACTCATGGGACACCGGGGTGAGAGCTGCAGGGAAAGCACACGTCATTTATCCCCTAGAGACACCTGTCACCTCCACAGGAGAGGAGTTTGGGTTTTGGTTTGTTTTGTTTAATTGAGACAGGTTGTCATGTAGCCCAGACTGACCTCAAGGATGGTGCTACACTTCAGACCTTCCTGTATCCAGCTCCTGAGTGTTGAGTCCCTGGTGTGTGTCACCATACCTGTTTCCCTGCTCTGCTAGGGACTGAGCCCAGGGGTGTCACACATGCTATGCAGGCACTGTGCCAAATGAGCCACATCCACAGCCCCAGATAAGTAGGTGCAATACAGACCTAACTTTAAGGATGCAGACAGATTTATGGATCTTGTATAGCATATATTCCCTTATAGATGTATAAATCTATACATCTGGATATAATGGTGCACACCTTTAATCCCAGCATTTGGGAAGCAGAGGCAGATGGATCTCTGAGTTCAAGGCCAGCCTGGTCTACATAGTGAGATCCTGTAAAAAAACCAAAACCAAACAAACAAAATTTGTTTGTTTGCCAAGAACCCACCAAAAATGTAGATGTATGAATCATTTAGAATGCTGTTTAAAAAAAAAACAAAATTTATTAAAAAGAATAGGTTTAGGGGCTGGCATTGAGGCTCAGTGAAAAATAACTCCATAAAAAGGACTGGGGGCATGGCTCAGTGGCAGAGTGCTTGCCTGTGCAAGGCCCTGGGTTTGATTCCCAGCACTGCAAAAACAAAACAAAACAAAACAAACAAACAAACAAAAAAACCCTTAGTTTAGGGGATTACCACAGCTCTAACTAAAAAGTTACATAGAAAGGTGATTTTATAGGGACATGGGAAGTGATAAGAGACCATTCCCAGGCACATTGCTGAGCCTGGTTGGTTTCTAGTAACACTGTTATACTTTACAAAATTCCCATTCGTTTAGAGATAAAAGCTGAGTTACTTCTCTATTCTGAGAAGAAGAGAAAAAAAAAAAAAAATGCTGCAGGCTGGCTGCTTGCCTCCTCTTTTTAAAGGGCAGCCTACTTCTAAGGAAAAACTGTGTTTGTGTGTTTTTCTGAAAATTCAGCAGCGTGGGGTAAAACAGTAAGAGCTAAGAGTGGGTGTGATGGTTTCCTTTTGTGGTCTAAAAAGCAGACCAAAAAGGACACATGGGCCTGGGTGCTGAGGGTTGCTGTGTTAATGGGTTTTGCAATTGGTTCATAGTCAGTCCTGGGAGTCAGGTAAGAGAAGCTGGGAGAGAAGTTCTCACTGGGTAGCTGCTTTTATTTATTTGTTTGTTTGTTTAGCTGTCTGTCCATCCATATATCCATCTATTTTTTCTTTTTAGACAAGATCTTACCATGTAGCTCTAGCTGTCCTGGAACTCACTGTATAGACCAGACTGACCTCAGACTCACAGAGACCCACCTGCCTGTGCCTCCAGAGTGCTGAGATTAAAGACGTGCCACCATGTTAGGCCAGAGCTGCTAATTTAAAGGCTGGCTGTTTCTGCTCTCTGAGTCTCTACATTATTATAACTCTTCATCACAGTTCATTATTGAAAATATTTGTCTTTTTGGCTAGAGAAAAGTCAAGCCCCATAGAGACAGCTCATCTCATAAGAATTTTAGAATCATAAAAATTACAGTGGGGAGGGGCTGTTGACTCCTGCTCTTGAGCATCAGGCATGGCCTTCACATGTGGTCCTCTCAGAACTTGTTCTTCATCCTTGGTGTCTAGAAGGGAGTGTATGCTGGAGCCTTTCCCTCCTCAGCAGAGCTGTGACTACTCACTCATGCAAATCAGGAGGAGCTGTTCCAGCAAGAGACTGCTAAGTTCTGAAGAACCAACTTGTCTGCTTTGCCTAAAATCTATTTTTAAAAGTTTGAAATAGCTGACCTTTTATAGTATTAATCCCAGTTCTTAATTTATATCACCTAATATATAGGGAAATCTCTAATTTGATGTAATTATAAGAAAAAGCAACCTGTATCACAAAAAAAAAAAAAACAAAAACAAAAAAACAAAAAAACACAAAACCTGAATTGTTAAGATACATGCAAATATTGGGTTAAAAAATACTGGAAACATCTTCTGATCCTGCTGCACTTTTTCCAGATACAGCCTATTGTACAACAGACCCCAAAACAAAACAGGTGCATACTGTTTCATAAAATGTGCACACTTCCCACATGCACGCAGTGACACTTAGGTCCCACCTTCTACCTGCTAAATCTTCCAGTCCAAAATCCTCACTTTTATGTCAACTGCTTTGTGGCATTAGAAGACAAAGGTAACAATGTTGTCTCCTAGCAAAGTCCTAAGCCAGAACCCTTCTCTTCTGAGCCCCTTATGATAGGGTATGAGAGGGGAGTGGTATTCAGATATTGAATCAGAGCCTAAGGAGATGCATCTGCTCTGAGTCCCCGTCCTACTCTACAATGATGGGAACTAATGTACTGAGCTATGGGTGGCTGTGTGACTGCATCATACCCTCCTCTAGGACTTAAAGATTGACCAGAAAACACCTCTCCGGGTCCTTCACCGAAGGCCTTTGGCTGTGAGAACTCGGGCCATTCATTCTATGGAGACACACTACCTGGATGAGCATCATTTTCGTCTGAATCTGAAGACCCAAGCGGGAACGTATCCTTTTGCCTCTACATTGCAGAGACCTAACCAGAATGGGATCCTGGTAGTTAATGCTGCCCTAGATAGCAGGTTTGGTTGATCTAGGAGATGTTTATTTGTTAGAGATCTTGTGTACCGCAGGTCACATGTACTCCAGGCTGTCCTTGAGCTTCTTTCTATCCTCCACCTCTTAAGTGCTGGGATCCAGGCCTGAGGTACCTCAGGTGGTCTGGGATATTCTGGAAAGGATTTGGGTGTATTCATTCAATATTTTGGAATGGAATCAGTACTTTTTTGTTTGATATCTGTTCTTCCAATTTTGTTTCAAAACAGTGCTTTAAACCATGAACTATCCATCAGTTAGTTCAATGGCAACTTTTAAAATTTGTTGTTCTGGCCAGGCAGTGGCAGTGGTGCACACCTTTAATCCCAACATCGGGAGGCAGAGGCAGAAGGATCTCTGTGAGTTCGAGGCCAGCCTGGACTACAGAGCAAGTTCCAGAACAGCTAGGGCTGTTACACAGAGAAACCCTGTCTCAAAAAACAAAAACAAACAAAAATTTACAGCTCTGTTATAGTGTCTTACCCATTATTTAGTATATAATATACTCAGAAACCACTTTTGATTGATTCATTTGCTGTCTTTACACATTTTGCAAGTCATATGTTCATAACCCTCTTTGTTTCTCTAAGTGTAAATGGAGTTCTTAATTGGTCTACATCATAAAACCTCAGTGTCAGATACAGCGGGAAATGCTGACAGATCAGAGGGAAGGAGCAAGCCACAGCCACACCTTCCCTCCTTAGCTTCTCAGCAGACAAGAGAGTGACTTCCTGTTGCTCCCTGCTTATATCCTGTCTCACTTCCTGTCTGTCTGTACAGACCTCCAGACCTCTATGGTTAGCTAGTGGCAAGCTCCATTCTCTGACCTTCAGACAGGCTGTATTTGTACAAGCAAGACATCACCAATCTAAGTATTTTAAGTGTTTGCCCAACTGATTAAACCCAGGTGATAGAAGGAAATGGGCATTTTACTGTCTTTAAAGTTTGGGACAAGTGCTCACCTTGTTGCCCAGGCTGGCTCATCATTAACCCTTGAGCAGTTCTGTCTCTGCCTCCCGGATGGTAGGAATACTGATACATGCTGTGTTCAGTGCTTCTTGACATGATTGTAACTTAAGTACAGGCCTGTGTGAAACCGAAACACTACGTATCACCTACTCAAGCAATAATATGTCAGTGTTAGGACAGAGTTCAAAACTCCAGAATTCTGACTCTGTTTTAAATAGAAAAGATTGGAACTGGACATTTTAAATGTCTACATGCCAAAGCGGGTACTTTGTTTTTAACCTGTTCCAACCTGTGGCTCTGGGGCCAGAACCAAGTTTCTAATAGAGTGTGTGAGAGAGCTCCAGCAGTCTCAGGCTTACTGCAGTATGTGCTTTCTTTTAGGGTTGCATCTCACTGACTCCTAGGTGGTTCTGATCTCATGATTCTGCCTCTGCTTCCAGGTGCTAGGATCACAGGCATGTATCACCATGCCCAGGTTTCTTATCGCTCCTCCCAATAGTGTGTGTGTGTGTGTGTGTGTGTGTGTGTGTGTGTGTGTGTGTGTGTTCCAATGGAATGAAATGATAAACCTCTTCTAACTGGTATGCAGGTAGGGACGTAGTTCTGTATAAAACAACACAAACCTCTCCAAAGTGGGAGGAGTCAAGGACTAGTCACGCATAGCATGCCTCTCCTCTCAATCTCAAACATCTTTCCCCTCTTTGCCACCTCTGAGTGGCCTGGACTGACCTCACTGGACTGGGGTATAGGCTATTACTCCAAATAACTCTTCAGTTTTGCAGTTTGTATCACGGATGATTTGTGTAAACTTTGGTGGACAGCTTCTTTATTGTTTGGAGCACATTTGGCTGTTGTAGATGGAATTCAAAGAAATCACAAGTGAAAGTTTATTTTTACTTTGCTGTTGGGGACTGAATCCAGGGCTCAAACATGTTAAGTACTTTGAGCTTCACGCCTTGCCTTAGATTATAAAACAAAATAAAACTATCCCATTTATTGAAAAATGGGACCAGATATCAAAATAGAAATGGAGTGCATGCCTTTAACCCCAGTACTCAGGAGGCAGAGGCAGGTGGATCTCCAAGTTTGAGGCCAGTCTGGTCTACATAGTGAGTTGTAGGCTAGGTCTACAGTGAGATGTTATCTCAAAAAAGAGGGGAGAGGCCATTGAGCTACATAGTCTTTAACTTTACATGCCAAGAAGAATGAGTTCTTTGTCTTTTGGAAAAACTACCACCTTTTGAATCCCATTAAGGCATTTTTGGAAACAGCTGTATATATGTATTTTAGCCAAGAAGAACTGGTAAAACTAGATACCATGTGGTTCTCACAGAAGGACCTGTCCTTTGTGTCCTCAGTTCTTCTTGTGCTGCCTCGGTATTGTGTGGCTCAGCCAGGCTCTCTGCCTCCAGCCTCATCCCCAGCATGGATACAGTCCAGACCTTCCCATTGCTTCTGGGGCACCTTGGTCTGCTTCCTTCTTTATTACTGGCTTTCTCTAAAGAATGTCAGAGAGAAAAAAGGGCAGTTGAAGAGAAATTATGAATTCAGGGAAAAAAGCTATGTCGTCTGTTGGAGTCAAAACACATAGTGGGTAAGGAGGTGAGGAAGCTTGTAACATTGTGTCTCAGCTAGTACTTGAAGATGCTTTTGTTTTCCTGTACAAATGCCATTAACTACTTACGCTGAATTCTGGTTTTACTAATGCAGTGTTTTTGTTATTGTTTCTCAATGAACAATGGGAAAGATGTGTATTTTTCAGATAATGTCAGGGCTATGGAATGCTAATCTTATTAAGAACAAATTCCAGATCTAACCATTGCCTTCAAAATGTAAAGACCTATGAAGAGAACACAAAGGTGCTAAAAACCAGACCCAAAAAGAATTTAGCTAGGTGTGGTGGTCCAGGATTGCTTTCTGCTCAGGACAGCCTGGACTACACATGCAAAAAGCAACTAAAAGCAAAAAAAAAAAAAAAAAAAAAAAAAAAAAGCAGAAACCCATCTTAATTCTTTTTCTCACTACCTGCCTGTAGCTGCAGCCTCTGACCTCTACCATCACCCATGCATGGTGTACATTCACAGCACACCCATGTGTGTGTAAATTAAATATAAGTTGATTTTTAAAGAAAACTAAATTAGTAATTTAACTCCTTTCCCTCTTGATGCCCAAGTATTAACAGGAGCCCCGTCATTGAGGCCACTTTCTGTGTGGTCCTGTGGAAACTTGCCATTTGGTAGATGCCAATTGTCATTATTGAAAAATGGGACCAGATATCAAAATAGAAATGGAGTGCATGCTTTTAACCCCAGTACTCAGGAGGCAGAGGCAGGTGGATCTCCGAATTTGAGGCCAGTCTGGTCTACATAGTGAGTTGTAGGCTAGGTCTACAGTGAGATGTTATCTCAAAAAAGAGGGGAGGGGCCATTGAGCTATATAGTCGATTTAATATATAGCAAACCTTGGCATTTTGAAATGAGCTAATAAAAAAACCTAAGGCTGGGGTGGGGAGTGCCAAAAGTTTCCCATCTCAGCAGTTGGAAGGTAGAAGCAGGAGAGTTCAGGTCAAGTTCATTTAGCCTGGGCTAGGTGATACCCTGTCTGAAACAAAGCAAAGTGTGGCCTCTGGGGAGTTTGATGTAACAAAGATTCTGTTTACTATGCTGGTACCCAGGCTGCTGGCATCCAGGCTGGTGGGATCCAGCTTATTTTCTGAGATATGCATCTCAAGACTGAGTTTAGAAATGACATCTATTTTGTAATATTTTTATTCTATTTATTTTTCCCTCCCATTTGCCAAAGTAGTTGGTACTGCATAGTCTTTTCCTTAAACAGACCTAGCTACATTAAAGAATTTGTGCACGGAGACTTTGGGAGAACCAAGCCAAACATTGGCTCTCTGATGAACGTGACTGCAGACATTCTTGAGCTAGATGTGGAGGTAAAGTGCTTTATGGGGGAGTGCACATCTGCAAATAAAATTCAGCCCACTTAGGTCTTTTGACACTAAACCAATAACACTTCCTGTCTCATGGGCTTTTTTGTACAAGGTTTTTTTTTTTTTTTTTTTTTTTTTTTTAAGGTTTTCGTTTGTGTATATGAATATTTTGTCTGCATGTATGTCTGTACACCGCCACATGTGTGTCTGGCATTCCTAGAATTGAGAAGAGGGAATGGAGCCCAGGTCCTCTGGCAGAGCAGCTGGTGCTCTTAACCACTGAGCATTCACTCCAGCCCTCTATAGGTATTTGACAATAGAAAACCCCACAGTAGCTTTGAAGTCCAGGGAAGAATTCTCTTTGTAACTATTTTAAACAGACAACAAAGCAGGGTCCATTTGTGATGCCTGAGGGTTATATAATTTACTAATTGTTAGCATGTATTGTAATTTATGGATTTACCTAAGGCATCAGATTAAACCCTTAAAGAAAACAAGAAAATAGAGTTGAACTACCTCTTGCATCCTTCTGAATGCTAGGGTTGTGTTTTATAAAGAATTTTAGAGCTGGGCATGGGGGTGTACACCTTTAAACCCAGCACTTGAGAAGCAGAGGCTGGTGGATCCCTGAGCTCAAGGCCACCCTGGTCTACATAGTTATTTCCAGGACATGGCTGTTGTGGCAGCCAGGATCCACTGTTCAGATTGCAGGAGCCTAATAAGGCTGTCAAAAGGAGACAACATAGTGTCACAGAAAGTGCCAAAACACATTCACTTTAAAAAAAAAAAAAAAAAAAAATGGTTATCCAATACCAAATGGTCAGTCCTTGAAACATACATACAAATAACATTGCAGACTGAGAAGGTTCTTTCTAGAAGTGTGTGTGTGTGTGTGTGTGTGTGTGTGTGTGTGTGTGTTTAGCAATGATTAATGACAATAGAGGCCATGAATTTGAAAGAGTAAGGAAGGGTATAGGGGAGGGTTTGGAGGGAGGAGAGGAAGGAGGAAATGATATGATTATATAGAATAGATTGCTTACTGTGATTTTAATCTGGAAGAACAAAGTGAGACTAAGTAGCAATAGAAACTAATTAGATTTATCTGGCTGTTTTTGCTGTTTTGGGACAGGGTCTTGTGTAGCCTGTGAACCCTTAATCTTCCTTCTTCCTGTGAAGTGCTAAGATTATAGCCATGTTTAATGACAGCTGGCTTGAACTGGATTTTTAAAGAAACAAAAATTCTGAAATGAGAAGATACTTGGGGCTTTTTTTAGTTCTAGTGATTTTCTGTATTCATTTGCTTTATGTTTAGTTACAGACTGCTTGACCCATATGCCATTTAACACTGGTCCCACTAGTTGATATCATCTACTGACATCATACCATAGTTTAAGTAAGTACACTATGGTGTTTGCCCAGTGATGGAGTCACCCAATGACACATTTCTCAGAATGTGTTCCCACTATTAAGTGATGCATAACTATATTTTGTTAAATATAAGGCGATACAGTGAAAAACTGATCAGAAGAAAAATAATGTGGCTATCCAAATTTGAATTTTACTCATAACTGACATTACGATTTTTCAGTTTCTTCTTTTAGGAGTCAAGAGGTGTAATAGTAATTGTCTCCTTTAGTTCAGAAATGGGCCTTCAGTGTTGCTGCTCTTATCAAATGTAATTTCTCTTGCATTACAGTGAAACTGTCCCCAGAAATGTTTGCCAGAATTTCTGTTTTAATGACTTGTTTTCTTCCTTTTAGTCTGTGGATGTTGACTGGCCACCTGCTTTGGATGACTAGCTCTCACATTTGGACACCGAGGGTTTTCCTAACACGATCCGAGTACAGGCAGCATATCCTGGAAGATCACTAACCCACCCCGGCAGTGACTTCAGAGTGACCTGGATCGATGGAAGATGACTAACCCACCCTGGCAGTGACTTGAGAGTGACCTGGATCGTGTTGATCTGTCCCAAAGCTCACTGTAGCATCTAGTACATCTCAGGGTCTGTATGTACATAGACCTCAGGGTCTATCTGTATGCATATTTTGTGTTCTGTTATTCTTAGGATGTCTTTTTTTTTTTTTTTTCTCTCATGCCCACAAAATAAAAATAGGAATGATCCAACCATTTTCCATTTTGATTCTGTCACTTAGAGAAGTACGCAGGGGAGACGGTGTTAAGAGGAGCTGTGACTTCTTCCATTGACGTTTCCTACAGGAGACATAATACCTTTACAGAAATGTGCTCAAGTTTTCAGATCGTCTGAATAAATGCTATTAAATAGACTCTTGTAGTGTTGTCTTATGGTATCCTAATATGTCATGTACATCTGATATTAATGTTTTTCCCAGTTACCATCAAGCTGTTATCAGTGGAAGTGCTTTAAGGTGTGATTTGTCTTAAGTCCTAATGACCTCAAGTTACTATTGTGACAATCTATAAAGTTGTCAGTATGTGCCTCCTGTCAAGGCAGTAACAGTGCCGGAGGTGTACCTCCAGGGCCATAGTTCTCACCTGCAGGTCACAATCCCCATAGGGGCCACACATCAGATACCCTGCATAGCAGACATTTACTTTGCAATTCATAACAGTAGCAAATTAGTTATGAAGCAGCAGTGCAATAATTTTATGGTTGGAGGTCACCACAGCGTGAGGAACTAACTGTATTAAAGGGTCAGAGTGTTAGGGAGGTTGAGAAACACTGGCCTAGACACTTTACTACACTCTTCAAGTAAGGCAAAATAAATTCCTTTAATGACTTCTGTCCCTGGGTTACAAATTAAAAATTTTGAGATTGCTAAACAAATACAAATGTATTTTACAGTGTTTCAACTACTTTCAAACTTTAAACATTTTAAGAAGGTGTATCTAACATTATATCTAATGTCATAAACAAGGAGTCAAAATTAAATGACACCTAAGATATCAGTTAACTCCTCTTAGCCAGGTCTGGAACTGGAGTTGTGTTTCCAGGGTCCTTTCTACAAACTCTTATCATGGGCACCTGTTGTTTCTGTGGGTGACAGTGAGATGTACAATGCCAGGAGACTGAGTTTGGATAGCTAGCAACTCCCCAAGAAATGGCTAATGTATGTCTTATGTGATCTTGTACAGTTATTTGTAACGAAGGGCAAGATGAAGAAGAGAAACCCTAAACACATTGAACCAAAAGAAGAGAAGTTCAATAAAACTTAGATTTAAGTCTAATTTTTATCATCTGGCACAACTTCTTGACCTCTCTTTCTCTGGATACATTGATTTGAACAGTATTTGATTATTCATGTTTCTCTGCACACAATCCTTAAGATGTACTTTAGTTGATGGTCATGCTGCATCTGGGGTGGCCTGTGCTGCCACCTGGGACAATGTCTGAGTCAGTGGTCCTGCTACAGCTGGGGTCTGTGATGATGTCTGAGACCTGTGTTACCATATGTGTTGAAATTCAAAGGCCATGCTGAGCTGACTCTGCCCTTCACTGACTCTGGAATAGGTGGCCCTGTCCCTTGCTGTACATTGCAGCAGGAGAGCTGGTCCCACCACTCATGAGAGAGCTCCTATCACCACACACTCTGGAGAGATAGTCCCACCCCTTACCACAGTTAGGGGAGAGCTTGGCCCAATGGCATGAGTGTAGGAGTTTGCTCCATTCCTTGCCTGAGGGATTTGGTCCCAGTGGCCCAAACCAACAGCTCAGCCACCACCCAGGCCCACATCGTAGGCCTTAGGTTGGCCCATCCTAACTTCTACACCATCTAGACCTGCTGGAACATGTGAAGGGAATGTCCTGTGGAACGATACTTACAGGATCTCCATGCCTCGGGGGCACTAGGAGGTAATCTGAGAGGAGTTTCAGTGAGGGACCCGTGATGATGCTGTGCTGGAGGCCAGAGGCTTTGAACCACAACAGTGACACATTGCAATGAACATTTGCAGGTTGGGCTGATGGTACAAAAGGGTATATACTGCATGACATACTGCAGCTCCCAGTGCCACTAGGACAAATGAAGAGGTGTTGGAGAGGTGGGGGGTGATGGGGTGGGGGGTTGGGCACTGAAGGGGTGAGGGGCAGATATGGATTGACTGGGAAGTGAGTGAACTTAGAGTGCATAATGTGAAATTTCCAAAGAATAAAGACTTAGTTATTAAAAAGATGTATTTTAGATATTTTGTATCAAGAAAATGTTTTTGCTTGAGGTGAAAAGGGAAGCCAACTACTTTGGAACCATGTTTCATCATGTGTGAATAATACCAAAGGGCTTTCTTTCATTGTCTGAAAAATGTAAAGGGGATAGCAGCTGGTTAAAAGTTAAAGACTTCTGGTGAATAACTCTCAGCTTCTGATGAAATTTTGCTACCAAAGAAGTTTAAATCATGTAGGGAAAAGTCCTTTGTTTCTTTTAGCTCAGCCTTGAATCCAACTGATCCAAAACATGGCTTCAGTAACTTCCAGCTAACTCTTGAATTATTTCCTGTTGAAGGGTAAACTGGCTCCAGATGCTTATTCCAAATGTCTGTGGGACTTGGGGATACAGGGTTAGGAAGATGTGTAGGCTTGCTTCCCTTGGTCACATAGTGTTTCATTACCTTGGTTTCCCTTCTACATACTTTTGTTTAAATTAGAAGTGATGTTTGTCATTTGCAGAATGAGCTTTTTGCTCTTGGTTGCAAATTTAATCTGTAGTTTATTTTAGGAAAAAAAAAATAACTCTGAAGAGCTGGAGAAGTCAAGAGAAAAATAGAATTGATAAGTGAGAACTTTCCTAGTAGGGTAACTGGCCACCTTTGCAAGTTAAATTAAGTGAAATAAGTTAAATTTCCATTCCTAAGAGAAAAACAGCAGCCCCTCCCCTTCCTTGGAGCTTTATCCTTTGTTTTTGTTTTTTAAATTAAATTCATTCTTTGCCAGTTTCATACATGCACATAATACCCAGTGGTCACACTTATACCCCATCTTTTTTGTTTGTTTTTACTTTTTGAGACAAGGTCTCTATTTATAGCCTTGGCTGTTGTGGAACTGACCCCCAACATTCTCTTACCTCCCTTTCCCCAACAAACCCTCTCCCTTTCTGCTTTCATGGCTTTGTTTTGTGAACCACTTAGATGACAACCTTTGTGGGCATGGATGTGGAACACCCATAAGCAGCAATACTTGTGACAAAGCCTCTCAAGCATCCATCAACAGCTAGTAGTCCCTCTGGGAGGGACAGGTCCCCATGATCCGCCTCCCCGGCCCATGCAGGCAACTACAGATGCCGTGAGTTTATGATTGCTAAAGCCGTGTCATCTTGTCAAGAAGGTATGTCTCAGCATCCCTCATCAGCCATCTCAACTATTATATATGTTCCTGAGTTTTGGTTCCTAAGTCCACACATGAGAATGAACTGTGTATGGTAAGCTTCTGTGAGGCCTCATGTTATAGCTTAGGCTGGACTTGATTTTATGATCCTCCTCCCTCTGCCTCTCAAAGTGTCTGTACTGTACTCAAGGCCCACACCCCCTAGTCCAGGTGGAAGCTTTTCTGGATCAGTTTTCAAACTGTACCTGCTTACCTTGCAACTTAGGGAGAAAAAGGGTTCATTTCCCTTACACTTCCATCATTGAGGGAAGTCTGGGCAGGAACTCAAGGCAGGAGGCAGGAACTGAACCAGAAGCCAAGGGGGAGTGCTGTTTACTAGCTTGTTCCTCATGGCTTGCTCAGTCTGCTTTGACATAGCACCCAGGACTATGAGCTCAGGGGTAGCACTGCCCACAGTGGGCTAGGTCCTCCCACATCAATCATTAATCAAAATTGTATCACAGACTTGCCCACAGGCTGAGAAACATTTTCTCAATCAAGTCTCCCTCTTCCCAGATAGCCTATGCCAAGTTGACATAAAAACTAGCCAGCATAGTACCCTTTTTATTATGAAAAAGAATTACTTCAATATCTTTTAATTTTTTTTTCATTTCAAAATAATTCCAAACTTAAAAGTACTAAGGAAAGTACAAAGGAACTTTCCCAATAAGTTGCTGAGTCAGCAACACTCACCATCTCAAATACATCAGTGTGTAATTCCAGGAAGACATCTTGTAAATCACAAGACGCCCACCATACCAGGAAGTTAGCACTGACAGACTACTGTTATCTAACCTGAAGGTTGCCATTTGTCACAGTCTTCATGGTCAGTCACCACACTTGGTGATCAGTGGTTACGTTGACATTCATGAAGTGGTTTTCAGATTTCAGCCCAGTTATGTAGTAGACCACCTCCTCAGGTCTGGTTTGCCTGGCCTTCCTTATTAAATTTAGGCATGTGAGAATGCCACAGAAGTAATGTTTCCTTCTTGCATCTTACCAAGTGTCAGACAGTTTCCAAGTTTTCCAGTTACTAAGGGTTGGGTGTTGGTTATCCAACTTCTTCAGTCTGCAGTCAGTGCCTTGTAGATAGACCAAATCTTCAATCATCAGACAGCATCCACTGACGATCTCCACCTGACTCAGTTACTATTGACTGGTGAATTGCCAAATCCTGACATTCCTTTCACTTGTATTGACTGGCACCTCACTGAAGGGCAGGGCCTTTCCTTCTCTATTCATTTGCTGTATTGTTGTGGCTTTGGTTTTAATATGGGAGGTCTTTGGGATTGAACCAAGACAAAGCAGCATTTTGTCACTAACACATCCCGATCAGATTCCCATTTTATTCAGTAAGGTGGTAATTTGTTACTAATGTTATTTTTATTTCTAAGTATTGTTCTGAGCAGGTTGCCACCCTGAGACTTCTACCTTGTGGGAATAGAAGTCCCTTGAGGTAAGAGTACAGTGACACGCCTTTAATCCTAGCACTCTGGAAACAGAAACAGGCTGGTATCTGTGAGTTTGAGGCCAGCCTGTTTTACACAGTAAGTTCTGGGACAGGCTGAGCTACATAGTGAGACCCTGTCTCAAAAGAAAAAAAAAATGTTTGAAAAAGGCATTGCTTCTTGAGATTATCATTTCAAAGGGTAGTTAACAGATAAAAGCATGTTTTGCTGAGAACATTTTATAAAATGCCTAATGTTTCAAAACAACCCCAAACTATTCTGTATAACAAAAATATTACAAATAAAGAGAGTTCATTGATACTTTGTAGGCAAACAGCAAAATTTTTGCAAGCATTTTAGAAAATGATATATTACATCACCAAGAAAAAAATCACAGTATACAAAGATATCACAAAAA